TAGATGGTGGCGTGACCACAGTGCACACGTCTGATGTCGCTCACAGTGGTCAAAGGGATCGCTCAGGGAGTTTGTGTGTTCGCTCAGACACATTAAAAATTAGAGGGAACATTGATGTTTAGTCTATTCTGTAAATATATTATTTTTAAACTTGTTTTTAATCAGACTTACCATCCTATTTAATATTACTGTCAATTATGCATGCTCACTATAGCAACAATGTCAAATCCAGTTTTAAAAGCAGCAACAACAACAACAAGATTCCAGACTCAAAGCTCCAAAAGAGTAGTTTGAATGGGTGGGTGGCATCATAGTGTCTACATGCACTGGTGTGCATGACTCAAACGATTTCGGCACCACAAATATAACTGTTGATGCATATCTTTATTATCATGCTTAACTCTTGTGCATTTTCTCCTACTGCCTTCTCATGTCCTTCTGTTCTACCTCCAGCTCCCATCTGCTGCTTATTCCCTTGGTTTTACTGTGGCTTCATCACAGTAAAGACAGCCCCCTTTGAACCCTATAAAGGCAACCAGCATCAGGCTTATTGTAAAACACAATCATAAGTTAAATGTTTATCCCCTCTCTGCCACTCTAAACTCCCCTAATGAGCCTGCTGGAGGGGTTTCACCTCACAGCTCAAATAGAGGCAGAGAAAACAGCACATTCAACTCGGATTAGGACTGCATAGGAGACGCCACTAAAGTCTAATCGGGAAAACAGTAACGAGCAATAACAAAGTTTAAAAAAAAAATAAAAAAAAGAAAGGAAGGGAAAGGAAGACAGAAAGAAAACTAATAAAAAGAAAGTTGGGAAAAAACAAGCAATATAATCACTAAAGTGCCAAACAAGCTCTACAACATAAAGCATTAATGACTGAAGAGTTAAATATGAAGCAGAAGTTCAGGAGCCACTCTTGGGAGAATACATTATGATTGGCTGGGAAGGATGAGCCCTCCGACCCTGCTCTTCCTGCCTGTTCTGACCTGCCCCATTATCCGTCAGCGACCCCACTATTATACCTACTGTCGGTACACGGCGCTACGCTGAACCGCACCACCCTGCGCTGCGAGCGAGCCATCACTCTCACCCCTGAACAGCAACGCGAGCCCACACGCAGAGAAAGAGAAAGTACAGCGTAATAGTAAGCAGGTAGTTAGAGGTCAGAGGTGCTGCGCAATCGGGACAGCAGTTCCACTCCTGGCAGCCAGAGCGGAACTCTGAGAGGGACCTGGAAGTAGATATGATGACCTTTTGTACAGAGGACCCCAAAATATACCCTCTTATCAAAATGACCTTAACATAGGAGCATGGGAAGGTAAGCACAGCCCATCCATCATCTTAAAGATTAATCCTCCTCTCTATTCTTCTCCTGAATCTATTAATAATGTCACCAGAGGGGGGAATTTGCAGCAAAGATTTATTCTGATATTGTGACTTTTATTCATTAGCCTATAACAAGGGGGATTCCTTGAAAAGGAAATATAGAGTGGGCTTAGGGAATGCTAATTCTCCATTCCAGCTCTATTTGAACTATACCAACCCCTATTAACTCAGTCATTAATTTTGCTGACAATCTGCATATGCTACATGCCAATGTACAACCAAAAAAAAAAAGGAAGATTAGCATTTATGGCACATAGGTCACAGCTGTTTATTCTTTAAAAGCAATCCTGGGCAGCGTCCATTTGTTAATTTACTAACATGGATAACTCTGTGGCAGGTGTGAAGCTTAAAAAAAAAAAAATCAATTTGACAACAAAATCTGGTGCTTGGATCAGAGCTTTTCCTCACTCATTTAGTCAAAGTACTGGATTTCACAGAGTGGAGCAGCACTGACAGCCCCAGGGGCATACTTCAATTAGAGACTTTGGTGAGTTTAAACACTGCAGATCTACTCCCGCTCAAAGGCATTTGTCTCCCTCCCCCTCGCTTTTCCTCTCTCTCCCTCGTTTCCTCCTTCTCTCTTCATATCTACGCCGAGCACCCACTCTCCGTCTTCTTCAAGTCCTGCTCTCTGTAATCAACTCAGTGCTAATGGCTTATTCTTTCTGCTCCAGCACCCACATTTCACTTGTTTATTTTCCCACACTCGTAAATCTGGGGACATGTCACAAGCGCAGCGATATTAGAGCAATAATCTCAGGTAATTATCAGATGCCCTCTCACTTTTTCCTCCCTCTCCCTCTCTCCGTTTAACACTCTCTCTCTACTGCTTTAAAGAGAGACACTCATTCAGAAGTTTTTTTTGACTGCTCCTGTGAAATGTGGAAGCGGGGTTTGAAGCTTTAAAGCACACTCTTATAAAATAAAAGGCCTCTATTTGTAGCAGAGCCCTAAACAGGTAGGTTATGCAGTAATCTAAATTATAAATGTTATGCTTGACACAATTTGCACTTGTGAAGCTCCAAGTCCCGTATTTGTTTGAGCTTTATAATCTAAAACATCCAGTTAACACAAACACTCTTTAAACTATTATGTCACAAAAACAGTACATTCCACAAACCACAGCAAAAAGTAACCCATGGTTCAAGACTGGGAGGCGGCTCATATCCGCGGGATACGTGGAGCTGTGTCAGGAAGGACATCAGAGGTAAAAAATTGTGCCAAATCAAACATGCGGGTCCAGCCACTGAGGCAATCTCTTAAGAATAAGGGAAGAGCCAAAAGAAGTTTTATAGTCAACAAAAAATTTCAATGTTTTATTTTCTTTAAATATGTTTCAGTGTTATTATTGTATGAACTCCACAGAAATTGACAACATGTATTATTGAACATCATCCTGCTGCTCCCTGCCACACATTGTGCAAAATTGTACATTTATTAAGTTATTTATATTTTACTATATTTTAATACTTTTTAAAAAATTAATTTTAGTATTTGTTCTAGTTATTTCTACTGTTTTATCTACTGTTTAGTCATATTCTGCATATACCGAGACCCAAAAAAATTGCTTTGCTTATATCACATCAAATGTTTTATAAAAATTAAGCTCAGTCTGAAAATGTAGTGTCAGTGTAACAACAATAGGTTTTTTGGTTTGGGACCATTTTTTTCCACGGACAAGCCCTTTTTGGTGGGCTTCCTCATCCCAGGAAGCCTGAAATATCAAGTGTACATAGCCAAGATACTGAAGCTGAAGTTGTATCCATTGCTGAGGAAGTGCAACTGCGATTTGTGTGTGAATGGGTGAGAATTTGGTTTAAATTTGGTAAAAAAGTGCTTTAAGTGATCGGTAAGGCCAGAAAAGCACTACAGAAATCCCAGTCCATGTATGCTCACTAATACACGAGTGTGGCTCACTGATGTTTAACAGCTTATTCTGTCTAAACCTCAATAAGGAAGTTACTATAAGTCGGTTTATTGTTGGCGTCTTTTTATAGGATTTGTTTCTGTTTGAGAAAGACGTTGTAACTTAACCACACTTTCCAGCTTTTAGAGCTCCAAGAAAACAGGGGATTACTTAGACTGTCACTCACCCACTCTTCCTGAATGAGGCTCACCGCCTTGTTGGCACGGGTCAGGTTTCGACAAGCCAGGATCACATGGGCGCCATGAAGAGCAAAAGACCTGGCTGTCTCAAAGCCTGAGATGGGAGACAGACGGACAGGGAGACACAGACATGAGAAAAAGTCTACAGGCAAGCAACGCCTCAAAGATGAGGGTTTTTTTTTTTCTAAAGATAACTTCAGATCCCCATCAATTTTTTCATATAATTTATTTCATTGAGTAACCCAGTGGTCTAGTGGAGTTAATCATTTCTCTCTGAAGTGATGAAACTGATTGAATTATTGTGGTTCACGACTTCTTCCTCTCGTCTTAGATAAAGTTTTGGATCTGACCGCCAACTCTCAATGAGGTATCGCCGCTCGCATAGAGTCAGAAAAACGGAGGCTGTTGTTAATTACGTTAATAATTATGGCAGCAATTATGAAAACACGGCTCGTAACTGAACTAAATGAGCAATCGAACAGACATGACATTCACACTGAACCTTGGCGTGATATTTCAGGCACATCAAAGGGCCTCTGATAAGGACATTTCTCCCATGAAACGAGGTCCGCCGATATGCGCAGAATTTATCAGTCCAAGACTACTTCATGGCTCCATCCAAATCATGTAGTCACGATAAAACTGACAAAAACTGAAGATAGAGGGAGAGAAGTTCATTTCTAAATTACAAGTCTAAATGGGTCATTTCATCCCGTAGGTTGAATTAATTTACGAGATTAACTTTCTTTCCTTCACCGTATTTTTATTTCCTTTGACATTTACTACCCTTCATGTGTCACAGAAAAGTTCAAGAGCACAGAGTCGTGTCATATTTTTAATCCTACTTCTATATACAAACCTGTGTGCATGTATACACACACACACACACACAAGCACATATCCACATGCAGTATGAGAGTCCTGACTGACAAAGTGAAAGGCTCAATAACTGATTGTGGCAAGAGGGTCTGAGTGGCAGAGCAGTAGGCAGAGTGTATCGGGTGGTGGATTAATATGGACTGTAATTAGATTATATGTCTTAATCTGATTTTCATTAAGAGCAAAACTGGGAGGCCTAATTGTGAGGAGAGCATTAAGGACTAATATCTATTAAAACTCAAAATTGGAGTGGGATTGGAAGCCCTTTCTGACAAGTGAAGCATGGAATGAAATTATATGACACCTTATTAGGTGTAATGGAGGGGACTGTGACTGTGAGCGGAGATCATTTCACTCACAGGAAATGGAAATGAAAATAAAAACAGCATGACAGAAAAAACAAGCAGAGTGACTGGTGGGGTAAAAATAGGCTTTGAATCCAAATGAGCGGCGGCGGGCTTTAGAAAATAAATGTTATGGTAACTTCTGAGTGTCACGCAAAGTGTCTGCGTTTTCACTCCGGCATAATCTGAACACCGCTTTTAAAATTGATAAAAAATTATACAGATGTGTACGAAATGATTTTTACATTTTTTTCCCCGCAAACGCAGCTTCATTTAAAGGCATTTTTTCCCGGTCTTTATAAATTGGACAAGACTACTGGCTTCTGGTAAACAACAACACCTCACACCGACTGGTTGTGTGTACAAAGCATGAAAGTGAAATTAATCGACACCAGTGTTTTCCATAATGGGGAACAAATTAGAATATGGCAGCGACAACAGCAGCAGCGCCGAAGCCATGTATTTGCAATGACAAATAACAAGGGCTTGACATTAATTGTGAAATAACGAGTGTGGCGTTGCTGTAACAGAGACTCCCCGCCCTCTTGCCCGTGTTACCGGTGGAGAGGGCCGCGACGGAATTAGTTCCTGGTCAGGTGTACAACAAAGGGAGCCTGTTTCAGCATTGTATGCTGATGGTGGAACATGACAAGAGGTCAGACAGGGGTTTCTTTTGCGCTGGTGGATCGACAAACGCCATAAGCTGTTTTACAGCGCACGGGAGGCCCGCTTGGATGTGATGCTCACCCAGATTTTTCTGTCTAAACAGATGTAGCAGCTGCAGAGGTTTACAGAGAAGAGTCTGTAGATGGGAGGGGGGAAGTTTCTTTGAATGTGTTTATGTTCAATCTCAAGCTTTATAAAGTAGCAAGAATGCACTACATGGCTCAGCTATTGTTGAAAATGTGTTTTACTGTAATGTATAAAATGCATAAAAATGTGTAAAATGTCCATTAAGCTGTGAATGCTCTTCATGGTACATTAGGATCCTGGCCCTACTGATATCCCCCAATAATGAGTGTGATTTAGTGATTTCACGCTTTGTTTGTCCTCCCTGGCCCACTGCCCCTCTCTGGATCCCCCTCGTACACAGGTGTATTGGCTCAATGTAATGAGATCATTACCAGCCTCGTCAGTAAACGTGTTTATTTGGCAAACGGAGCCGCCTGCTCCTTCCCTCTCTTGATCTGCATCCAAAGAGGCATTTAACTAAAATAAGCTCTGCAGTACAATTGGGCAAACAGAAGTCGGTTCACATCATTACAAGACCTGTGGGTAAACATGTCGGGTTCCCACAATCCCTCTTTTCCAGAGCTGAATTTGTGCTCGAAAGACCACGAGAGAAAAAAAAACATGATTATGAACAGAGTACATATCGCCCAAACTCATTGAGTTACAAGGTGTTTTTAACTGAAATTGCATTTGGGCTATTTATGAGGCAATTAATAAACATGATAAGTATGGTTTTTATTATTATGTTTATTGCTGTTTATTGCTGTCTTCTGTTTGATTTATTTTAGTTGGTAAAGCGTTTAGAAATTTGTAGATTTTGTAACAACTTGCCACAATGTGACCTGACACTGCACTGTTACACGGCTTTATCCCACGTGCCCATCTCATCCCAGTTACTATAGATATTATATAACACATGCAGTATGTTTCTAAAAAATAATAAGTTAATAAGCACCATCTATTTCACTTTTCAACATAACTGTGATATACATAAACAGATATTCATATTCTATATTTTATTTATTTTATTCTATTTATTTTATTCTATTTTTCACAGTGAGGTGAATTCCTTAGTTAAAAAAATGAAAAAGTAGTATTTGATAAACAACAGAAAAATTATTTGACTCTCAACTAATTATTTGAGCTCTAGTCCAAAACGAGTCTTTAACCTCCTAGGACCTGGCGTCCACATATGTGGACATCACATTTTGGGTTATTTAGACCAAAATACTCAATTTTGCTCTACAAGGGCCTAATATCCACTTACAAGGACATTATACTGCTACTGTTCTATCAAAATTTTAAATGAATATCCTCATATGTGGCTCTCATTTTTCTCAGAAACAAAAATTAGGTAAAAAAATAAAAATAAAAAATCTGGTAATTCTTTGTTTTTACATTCATCGGGTCCCAATCAGCCCAAATATCAAAGAGAAATTAAAAATGCATGCCGTGGAACAGTTCGGGTCTTAGGAGGTTAATATATGCATGTGTATCTATGAAAGCAAAGAGTGGCCGGATTTGAGAGACATCTTCAAACTCCTGACCATCTCTGATGTCATGAGTGCACCTGCTCCTGCGGTTACCGTGTATTTCTCGCCCAAGAAGTGAAGAAGGGGACAACTCCCCCGCTCTTTCTGACTTTTAAGATCCCCTCTAATTCCCCTCCATTAGTCCAAGAGGAGGGAGATGTCACCCCAAAAGTGGAATGTATGGTTAGTAATTACAGCCCAAGGTTGAGCTGTTCCAGGTGAGAGCACTGGAGTGGTTCTATTACCCCTCCCTATCGCCTCCTGGCTCCCCCACCACCCCCACTACCACCTCACCAGCCATGCAGCCCTATCTAGCACCCGCCTACCCACCCACCCAGCCACCAACCCCCCTTTTCTTTCCCTGACCCTCTGTGTCAACCTCCAACTCCCAACACAATCTTTCATCATGGCCTCACAACACACTGGACACCCCTGGTCCTCCAGCAGTCAGCCTCACAGAGCGAGGAAGGAGGACAGTACAGCTGATAAACACATAGCGCACCAAATCACAAACGTGTACAATGATAAACACAAACCCCAGAGGCCTGCTCATGCACACATAGCTGCTGAGCATTAGGGCTATTTTCATCACTGTCATCAAAATCCCCCCCGCATTCCCCCGTCATGTAACTTTCATCCCCCTCATCATGTGCAGACTGTAAACTCGATAGGTCCATAAACTACTTGACTACACACAATAACCCAATGCCCCTTCATTTTATTTTACCTACAGCCTTTAAGCACATATATGTATTCCATCCTCTCTTTCTCTAACCACTTCAGTTCCATTATATTAGAGCTGTAATCATTATTGAACCCTGCTAGCCTCCAGCATTATACTCTCTGCACGTTACACCAGTTTGGGTCTGCATAGCAAATTTCATCTAAGGTTAATAAAGTTGAATAATTTGACTAACCAACCGGAACTGGTTCTTATTACGTAGCCAATAAACACATTCATCAGTGAGAACATGAAATGCCCGATGAAAAAATAAAATAAAATAAAACTTCCCTTTGATTTCCTCGGCGGTTCAGTTCACAAGTTGATACGGAGAAGGCAGCGCAGGACACTGGCCGGCCATTCACCCGGCGGACACACACACACACACACACAATGAAGACTTAATATAAACACAGATGCACTCTGGATGTCATCTAAACCACACGTAGTCACTGAGAGATGCTCAGAGACAAAAACACACACACACACACACACACAGACGCCACACACCATCCTCACCAGGAACATCTTTTTATCCATCTAATTCCTCCCACTATGAATAATGCATTTCCCTCCTTACTGAGGCTTGGGTTTAACGCATCGCTGCACGGGTCTTTAAGGAGGTCCTTATTCATAAACAGTAGTGCAGTAAATACCAGAGCTTTGCAACCAATTTAATGGCAGTTATGCTTAACAAATCTGCCTCAATCTAATGATCAGCCACAAAGCTAGGCTATGGGTTTAATCTGCACACAGAGGCTCCCGCAGCTCTGCGACTCACTGAATATGCTTAGGGATCTCTCCATCCAGAGAGAGGAGAGCACCAGCCTGACACTTAATCCTCACAACACAACACTGGGATCAACACAACTATGGAACATTGTTAGTCTTTCATGAATAAGAATAACATTGAAAGTCCTAAAACACTGCAGAGACAATGCATAGAGAGACTAAAACATTACGAAGCGCTCCTTTTTTAAATCCTCGCTATTCCCCGTCTGGACATCCTAAGTCTTTTCTGCTTCTTATTCCTACATTGACCCTGCACCTTAACAAGAAGACCACGTGGAATTTAGTGCATGCATTTAGACTGAGTAAAGCTTTGCAACTGTATGCACTGCTCAACAGCAAGACGCTCCACAGAAGGTGCAAAAAAGTTCAGGTATGAAACACGTCAACACTGAAAAGCAGAATAAATAAAAACTTATTTTCAAACTCACAATTTCACTTACTGAATAAAAAATTATAATCTGTGAGAACTTTTTGAAAAATAAAAGAGATCTGCATAAGTAAAAAACACACTTGAACAAGTGTTTTCTTTCTTTTGTGCACCACACATGCTGAGCTGGACTAATTTAAAAAAAGCAGGACCATTTTAGTTGAGTAAGACAGGAGGCGGATATGTTATTTCTGACCACTATTAAACATATGTCAACAAGTCACCTGAGAGACTGATGACCCTCCCCAGGTATTTGGACACATAAATGTCCATAAAAACAGTTCCCAAAGGAGCTGTCACTGGGTAAGTAAGACCACGTGTCCTGAGAGGGAAAATAGAAATACGTTTTTGTGCAATGTTGTGCAGTTTTATATTTAAAAAGCAAGTATCCTCATTCTGAACCCAGTGGGGGCTAGAGACATCAGGACAATGGCCCTTTAAGGACAACTGTTCCATGGACCCCTGGCCAGTAAATAACCTGAGAGTTAGTTGATAGGGGCGAATTAGAGCCAGAGCAGTACTGTGTAATGGGGATGGATAGGAGGCTCAGGCTTGGGTCAAAGCCGCTTAGGAATCAATGCAGAGGTACAGGTGTACAACCACAGGTCTATACGAGTAAGAAAACCTTTAAAAAGAAGGAGGAGGGAGGGAGACGGAGACGAGCGGAGGGGGGGGAAACAAACTACGACCATTCATTTCCATTATAACAATTAAAAATTGCCATTCGGGTTGGTACTGGTTTTTAATTTACAAAAGAAAGCAGAGAGAGGAAGACTAATGTTGTAAAGCGAGCGCAGTGATCACACTGGCAAGACAAACTGCATCACTGTCTCGCCTCCCGGCACTATTGCAGTGGAGCTTGAAGACTGGTCACAAAAACAGGAGGCGGTAATATTTCATGCATAAATAATGTTATATATGTGGTTTTCATGTTTATGTGCATTTGAAACTAAATTAAAATATTTTAATGTAAATTTTTTGGAATTAATTAATATCCTACCATTACTAATAAAAATGTCACATTTCCCGTGGAGGAATTAAGCACTACAGGAATTGGAAATAGCCTTGACACTTGGATTAAAACACTACTGATGCCATTAAAATGCTAAGTGGGTCCAACCAATTGGCATAACCACATTTCACTAAAGGAATGTCAAAGGAGTACATGAGAAGTAGCAATTACTATTAGAATACTGTTAATTATAGCTGCTGCATATTTAATATGAGCAAAACAAAGGTTATGTTAATATGGGTTCTAATAAGTATTCATGCACTATATAGTGTCAGTGTATTACCACTACTTGATGCAGTCTTTTGTGAAAAACTGCATTTTTTCCAGCATTTTTTTTATTAAATATATCACAACAAATGTTGAATGAGGATTATCTTTTTCATTATATAGTGTTTTTTTTTAATTAAGGCAAAAATAAGTACATGTAAAACAGCTAATATGATAACATTTTTTAATATCAATAGCATGCACATCACAGACCTCCTGTGCCCTCTTGTGGAGAAAGCTATTAGTAATTTTCTCCATTCATCCTATACAATTATCGCTCAGGCCAAATATCGGATGTATTTTAGAACTAATCCTCTATCCGCGTCTAGTGAAAGCAATACATTTGGAATGAGAGGCTTATGCACTTTTAACCTCTGATGCCTACAGTCGTTCTGCAGCCATAAATGTTCACGCTTTCTTTATTTTGATAATTATCCTTTAGTATCTGACTCACACTACACTTTGTTCTGGTAATCATAGGCATTCCCATTTTAATGTTGGCGTTTTTTCTTATTCTGGGTACAGATTTTCTGCATTTCACATGTTCATGTGCATTTTCCTTTGACGGATTTCACAGTAAAATTATTACTTTTTTAACTATACATAGAAGTAATCCTAACCCAAAACATTTTAAAAAAGTAATTTCTCACTAATAATGTTTTGATGGATGTCAGTTATATTTTTAATTGATGTTTGTTGTGAGTCTTTTAATTCAGAGACAAAGAAAAAGAAAAATAGGTTGAACAGATCTTGGTTTAGCGACGGTCACAGGTTTAATGGAAATACAGTCATCAGAGGTCATTTGATACAAGCCAATTATTATTATTATTATTATTATTATTATTATTATTATTATTATTATTAAGTGCTGAAACTGCCTATTGATCAGCTAATGAGTGTCTATTGTGTGTGGCAAGAATCTGAACCTCTTGAGACCTGAGCTCTTTTTAATTTCTCCTAAATGTTGGGCATTAGCTGGACCCAGTAAGTATAAAAACTAAGCATCATCTTTGAACAGAAACTCTTTTTTTAATTAAGAAAAAAACTGTATGTCCTCATATGGGTGCAATGGGTTTATATTACAGAGAAACACAATAAAGTCACCATTGTTTAAAAAAAAGTATAAAACACTTTTTAAGTATAAAGTGCAGTGTCCACATGAGGACGCACAGTCCCAGGAGACTAAACAATAAATCATTTTCATTTGTGTTACTTTTTAAAAACGGTGTTCTCTTAATGTGTGTAGAGATAAAAGACAGAAGAACATCAGGGTCAGGCAGGCATTTAAGTTCACAAGCTTCTTCCCTCAGTGAAGGTCCCCAGGCTGCTGTAAATCTATGTAATACAGTGCTGCCTTGCTACATCTCATATCACACACGTACACAGATACACACAGAGACACACACTCCCACACACAGTGCAATTACATTGCAGGGACTTTCGTTGGGACAAAGAATTTGAATATAAAGACAATTAACGATTTTATGTTTATTTGATTTTCCTCATGCTGTCATTATCTATCTCGAACAAAGAAGCGAGTCTGAACAAATGGCCAGGACTTGTGCTAATTTAAACTAAAGGAAAGAGGAAATAAATTTGTTTCCAGACCATTATATAGTGAGCCATGCATTTGCTGGGTACAAATGGACACCATTCATTACGGTTAACAATGACATCCAATTCAGCCCTGCTAATGAACTTCAATACAGTCATGTTCGGTATTAAGGAGTGATTTGTTGAGTCTAAGTGTATCATTTTGGAGGCTAATGTTGATGAATGCCCCGTTGTGAAGAGATGGGGACATGCAAGGAGTAGAGACAGTCTTGGCAAGCACCCTTCTGTTATAGCGTAATACCATATCACCACCTAGTGGTGTCATCACAGAAACACACATTACTGCAGAGTGATGGTTTCAACTTTTCAGAACGTTTGTCAGATAAAAGAAAAAGATAAATAAACATTAAGCTCACCAATGCCCGCATTGCCTCCGGTAATGAGGACAACCTTGTCAGAGAGGTCACGACCCTGCAGGATCTCGAGAGCAGCAGTGTTTCCATCGTACCGCTTCGGCTTCACCACCACATCCTCTACTGTAAATGCGTGACGTGGATCAAAATATGTGCTCCGCTTGTTAATGTGACTGAAAATGACAGAGGAAAGCAGGAATGAAAGCAGCAACGTAGTTTTATTGCAGTCAAACATTTCCACAAATATAAGGAGGTTTGATCATAAGTCTTCTTACTCAATGTAAATTATCTGTCCTTTTTCATCAGTTTCCTGCTCCCAACCATATGGTAAGTCTGTAGAAAAAGACAGACATTTATTATTCTTTAATAGAAAAAGATATAGAAAAAAAAAGTGTATATACATTTCAAGCCAAAATTGAATTCTATGTCCTGTTTTATTAATTAATTTTTTAACTGACTGGTTAGCTACTGGCCACTGCATAAAAGTTGTGTGGTTGACAATACTCCAAATAACCAAGTCCAAGTTAGAGAAATATCAAATAATCTCAGCTTTGCATACATGTGAACAATTCTCCAGGGAAATGAAAAACACAAGTGAGTAAAGCAAACCTCCAGCACAACGTTTCTTCTTTCCTGTCTTGGGGTGTTCCCACTGTGTCTTCATCTCATCATGACTGTTGGCACAAACATAGAGATTAAGAGTGAATGAAAAAAAAAAATCCTTATCTTTACAATATACAGCTGTGGTCAGTAGTGTATTTACACTCATCATGGGCATGAATGTCATGGAAATTTAGGGATTTTAATTATTTCTTTGAACT